TATGCGGCCAGAATGGCAAATGTCCCGTTCAGCGTGATAAGCCTCATCATGGATGCGACATGGTACTACGTTTCGGTGAATTTCTCTTTCTGCACAAGATATTCCCTGAAGTCTTCGGCTCGATTGAAGAATTAATCACAGGGTCAAGTCAAAAAAAGCTACTTTGGCTTTTATTGCGATCTGCGAGCATCTGCGGAACGCCTTGGCTCCTCAGTCGCCCCCACTCCCCCTCCCCCCAGAACCCCGCCCATCTGCAGACAAACCCGACTCCAAGCCCAATCGGAACATTCGACTAGCTCCCCCAGGATCGGAACAGTAGGTCTGAATATTTGGCAATAGCATCGCCTTTCTAGCCCTCTATGTTCTTGTCGTATAGAAGGGCCCAGAAATTCCCAGAAGCTCATTCTAATCTTGAAAGCCCCTATATGCATATTGCACCCACAGTGTTGATGATATAAATCCTGCATTACCTTAAGGACCCCAAACTAGGGGAATTATGGTATGTTCCTTATAAGGGGAAATGCAGGATTTATACCATCAGGATTTATACCATCAAGCGTAACATCCCCAAGCCCTACGCTTGACCCTGATACCTGGTGATAGTGTGCTGACGCTTCGGGCAGCCCGGCGCGGCATGAATATATGAAGCCTTTACTGCCCTAATTTTCAAGCAGAGACCCAAAACCCAAATGCCACACGCCAAAGGCAGCAGACCCCAAAAGCCTTACGCCCCCAATCAAATAAAAGCTTGGTTAGAGCCTCTACAACCCCGTATGAAGCCAATCAGGGCACATGCGAACCACATACGCAGTCTACTTACCACCCTAAACCCTAAACCCAAACCCTAAACCCTAAGCCCCCGCAGTCTTCAAGTATCTAACGCCCCCCAATCTTCCGCACGACGCTGTGTTTCATGGCTCTGGCTCGGCAGCGCCCGCGGCTGTGTGAGTAACCCGGAACGGACGGAGCCTAAACAAGAGCTCTAGATTTACATTTAGGATCTAGGGCTGCGGGGTCAATTAGGGGTGCATGGTTGGGGTGTTGGATTTGCTGCTTTGGGCGTTGATGCGTTCAGGACCTTAGGCTTGCAGGGTTGCCTTGCGTTCTAGATCCTTTGGGGCTGGCGGGGTTTCAATTGCTGGATTGCGCTGCTGGACTCCTGCGGGGAGCTGTCTTCGAAAGCAAGGGGTGGGTTGAAGACGATCTGGATAAACTTGCCTGTCTTTCATGTTGAAAAATGCTGCTTCGTGTCATCGTACCCAACCAAGGCACTGCCGAAGTATACTACCACGTAAAGTTGTGCTGTCGGCGCTGCTCGTGCCCGGGCCTGCACGAAGGGGTCACAGCAGCATATATCTATAAGATATACCTTCCGCATTTGCGGTGTTGATGACTACCACAAAGAGTAGTTCTACGATCTACATACGTACCTAGCTAGCTAGCTCGCGAGCTGGCTACCTACCTTCCTACCAACCGACCGACCAACCCACCAACCTACCTACCTGCCTGCCCACCTGCCTACATACTTGCTTTCTACTTACATACATACAGACGGATAGATAGATACATACATACATACATACATACATACATAGGTAGACAGATAAGATAAACAGATAGTCGATCGATAGGTAGCTTACATCATACGATGAGTTGCGGTGTTTGTTTCAGCATGTCTCTATGAAATGCTACGCGAACAAGCGAGAGAGAGAGAGAGAGAGAGAGAGAGAGAGAGAGAGAGAGGCCTGATGATTGAGGGGTTCTATCCCGATGTCAGGAAGAAAATGGCCCCCTGCCAGCAAGATAAAGCACTGGCTGAGATTACAATCCCGCGAAGTCCTGCTGCAACAGGTTGAGACTGCTAACTTCAACATTTATAAGATCCCCTTTTGACTGCACTCTACAGGGAGAGCTGTACATCCAAGCCCCACGAGCCAACACCCGACCAAGGACAAGCCCACAACTTCAAGACTGAGCCCCAAGGGCTAATTCGCCAACCTTTATCGGGGTACATGCAACCCTAGTTTAAAGGTAAACCGTTCTTGGGCCATAGAATTCTGCAACTAGGCAAGGTAATTTCGTTGCAAGAGCATGCCTTGGCTCATAGACTTACATCTTCCATGCTAGGTATTTGGGTTTCCCACAGGCTTGCCTAGGCCTCACAACGAACCCAATTAAACTACATACGGTTTGGCGTGGGTTTGTGGTTGAGATGTGTTGTGCAACCCTCAAGTAAGATGCGATTACTACATAAAGATAGGGCCCTTAGTACTTACAAGAGGGTTTGGGGGTATATTGTACCATAAAATTATAATAAGGAACCCCCCTACCCAGCGAGCCCAGTGACCTCAAGCGAGGAATCCTCCTTAAATTGTCAGGTGATCGTGAATAAGTTTTAAGCTTCATCGATTGTCTAGATGGGGATTCGGAAGTCTGGGCACCAATTATACACACCTACAGGTACCCTACAAAAAATCTGTCAAGTCCTTGCAAGGCCCGATAAAACTCTTGCAGGGCTCCATCAAACCCTGAAAAACCTATCTGAGACCTTTGGGCCCGTCGAACACAAACGGCCATCAAACTCAGAACGACGCCTATAACAATCCTCATCGACCCCTGCAGCACCACTTGAAACACTTATACCCTTACGAAACGATGTATCATCCCACACACTATGTGGGCTTTTGGGCGAGATTTTCTAAATAGGTTTGAACTGCCGTGATTAACCCCGAGCGAGGGGGGCGGGGGGGTATCTTAGTTCTCCCAAATATTTTTAAAACCCTGATTATTAACTTCCCTGACCGTCAAGCAGTCAAGCCCTGTTCAAATCCCTCAGAGCTTGCTGGGGTCTTGGCGTTTGGGGTCCTGGTGCTTGTAGGGTGAAGGGTCTGCAGTTCATGGTTCAGGCCATAGGGCGTCTTTCTTCGGTGCTCTTCCCACTGCCAGCTTTTAGGTGCATGCTGTCCTCTTCAAGTCAGTTTCGCAGACCTGGCGCTTGGACCGATATCAGCACGGCTAGTGTAACCTGGTAGGGATGTCACATCAAGACTTAAAGAGTTTTTGTTTTTAAAGTGCCTTTTGGGCTACTCATATCAGTGGGGTTTAAGGTCGAAAGGGATGTGTTCGGATTTGCAGTGGACTTTTTCCTGTGGGCAGATGCTGCTGTTGCACAGTTCGGCCGCGGGTTGCGACTTCGGCGCGTATTCCTCGGATTCATCGATAGCCTCGAGATTGCGAGATCTTTGACTCTGCACACTAGAGGCAGACTGCTTCACGCCAGGTTGCATCTGAAATGCCAGTGCGAGCGATTCAGCACAACTTCTGACCTCACACTGTAGTTGCAGGTGACAGACAGACCCAGGCCTCAAAGCTAATTCTGAGTCGACGAAGGCTGGGGCCGAGAGCATGGAAGGAGGCACAGCAGCAGGTCAAAACGCCGCGAAGCTTGGCAAAGGTTTAGCAAAATAGTGAGAAGAAAGTAAACTCCAGACGTCTGTAACAGCTATGAAGCACATTCCCCTGTAGCGCTATATATTTCGGCGTTGCGTGTATCACGACCGACGATTAGTAAGAGTGTACCCCGAAGGGTTGACGTCTTCCGGGCTTCAATCGATCCTACTCGGCCGAGGTTCTTGAGTGCTAATGTAATATAGGGAGAAATATGGTTCTTATTCGGGCTCTCTAACCTTTCTGGAGTACTAGTAATGTAGTCGTCGTAGTAGTCGTCGTAGTAGTAGTAGTAGTGGTAGTAGTGGTGCTAGCAGTAGGCATTACATGCTGTGTCGGGGGTTTGCAACCAAGGGCTCCTGATCAGGTTTTACTACATTGACACGGTTAAGAAACCTTGAAGCCGAGCCCACGAAGCCCCAAAGCTTCCAACAGGTTTCGCCGCTAAACCCTATGGGCACCTAAGGTTCCAAGCTGGCCCTTGGCATGCTTTTAGCAGTAGTGAGCAGGTATGTTCGTGAAAAGACGACGTTCATGTTACAGCAGTGGTAGTAGTTAGTAGGTGCATGATGCTGGCCATTACCACTGTCATACAGTGGCCACGTAAAGGTTGGTGGTGCGGTACTCGACATTTGTTCGGTTGAGAGACTGGGGCCACCACTGCAAATCTTTTTGCACCAGTTGAGCGACATGTATGTGCGGGTTTGTACCAGCTGATGATGGCAACCGCTCATTGCACTCACCTTCGTACTACGCGACTCATTCCCTGAATTCTTCCAACACTAGCTCTCTCCAGCCTGGCGTGCACTTTGCAGCGGGAGTCTCCCACGGTTCTATACAAAAAGGCCTGCTTCCCATCTCAAGGTGGTGCTGTCGCGAAGAAGGGCGGCAACAGTATGGTCAAGCCAAGGCCGCAAAAGGGATGAAGACCTGAAACATGATTCCACCCAGCAGAAGGATGTTGATTAAAGGAGGTTCGAGCGTTTGGGGTTTCCTGTGCTATGTTGTAATCAGGGGAACGGGTTGCACGATTCCGGTATCCCGAGCTCAGAGCAGTGTTTTCGTGTTCTGTGTGGGCTCATGATCACAAGCGATATGACCAGCTTTTGCTTCAAAAGGATGGATCTCATCTGAGAGTCCTTCTCGCCTGCTTGGGTCAGAACCGCTAGCACCCTTTGGAGTGCTTTAGTTAATCAGAGCTCTGCATGCCACCACAAACTCTAGACATGAGGTACGGTCGCTGTGAAAGCTGGCTTTTGGATTCTTACCTTCAGGTTTAGTCTTGAAAGCGGCACTCTAGTTTCGGGCGTGTCGATGTGACAGGGGGTCTTCAGGTCTACCTAGCCTTGGCAGAGGCTGTTCAGTTGCCGTCCTGCTCAAGCCTCGATGCAGACGGATCCTATTTTGGAGAGGGCTTCAAAACAGTCGAACTTGCTCACATTGACCTAGCAGGCATGCAACTCAAAGCAGGATGTCCGTCGCTGGCCATGCAGGGGTCTCATGTGTAGTAGACAGGCAAGTCACCTAGCTCATAGTTCTGCCTCGCCCTGCTAATGGAGTGGCCTCGTTTCCTGCTGCTTGCCGCTGTGCTGGTGGCAGAACCGCAACATGCGACAGATGCCGATGCCGGCAATGAGCAAGGTGGCCCTGCTGACAGACTGCAGCTTCGAGCCCACACGGACTTCCCACCATTCGAGGCGGATGGGAGACATTTGACACTACTCTTCCGGGATGGCAGGGCAGCAGAAGAGTTTGATTGCTCCGCCCCTCGGGCCAAAGATCTGCCCGGTATGGATTTTCGGAGGTTGGAGCTGTCCGCAAGCTCGATCGCTGGTGTGTCTTCTATGTGGGCGAACCTGTGGGGAGCTTCTGAAGCGGATACCACACCGCCAGGGTCCCTGTGGCTTACGGAGGCACACATCTCAAGCTCTGGCGGAGACGCCCTGATGCCAAGGCTCAGCGTCTCCTTAGACACGGAGCCACAGAGAGACGGAGCGATTGAGGTCACTGAAGAGGCGCAGTTCCAGAGTGAGCTGACCGTTTACTATGACTGCTGGCAAAATGGCGAGGCACGGGTCGAGCTCCACTTGACACTGGCGACCGACGAGGGGGGTAACCATAGCCAGGAGATTTGTTTAGGCTGGTTGAAGGTTTGCCGAATGGGCTTTGAAGGGCTCGTGGTGCGCCACGGCGAGTATAGCGAATGGCCCATCTACCCAACCTCCAATGACAGCAGCTGGCCACAAATTCAGCGATCGGTAATTACCCACGAAACCCGATAATTGATTACGAATTGCCATGGACGAAGAGAACTCAGGCACAGTTCCCACACCACCCTTACTGGACGCAGAGGGAATCCTCGAGGATGTTACTAAGCTGCAGCTTTCCTCACGAGACGGTGTCTTGGTTGCTTTGTGGCCTGGCGGTCTTGGGGCTAGGGTTGTAGGTCATCAACATGTCTGATTGACGTCTCCGTGCTCCCGTCGCAGCATCCAGGAACCATCCGATTGCAGTCGCCGACAGTCGCCAGCTCGGATGACAAGCTCCTGAAGGTTGACATCAGAGGCGTCGCCGTGACGATGACTCAGGGCGACTTCTTTCTTGAGGTAGGCAGCGAGCCCACAGAGATTTCTGTCATTTACACCTGCCAGGGAGCTGGCACGGCAGAAGTGGAGCTAGGCCTTTGGCGTGCAGTAATCACATCGGCCCACGCCGCCGAGGGGCTCCATTTGCACTGGCGCAAGCAATGTGGTGAGTCCACCTACAAGTTCATGGACATCTTCCTCAAAAGCGAGATGAACATCTCAAGAACGCAGGCTGTGGCACATGGCCGTGTTCTGCCGGGATTTGAGCCTCGATGTCGAAACCAAAGTAAGAGTAGCCATCCTGCGGTGGATGCCGCGGGCCCCAACAAGTCTCCATCCCAGTCCTGCGGATCTCGGGCACCTGCGGTGGAAATCAGTGGCTTAGCTCTCGATGCTCCAACCTTTATACTCAGTTAGGGCCTTTAGGGGTTCTCATGATTCAAGAATAGTCTGAGAGCTTATAGCTTGTCTTGGTTCGAAAAAGTTAGTCCCAGCATGAAGCTCTGGAGCTTTTGGGGGGAGTAAGGTGAGAAGGAGATCAAGACCAATGTTGAGTTGCGCGTGGATCCGGAAGGTATGGTTTTGCCTCCGGCCCTGCAGCACCAACCAGCTGCTTGGCTCGAGGGTTTGGTGTTTAGGGTTGAACCAAAAAAGATTCAGGGAGGGGTCTAAGTAATTACCAATACTATTTTGGGGGGCTCCTTGTTATAATTGTAGTATTCTCTCTATATTATTAAAGTCTCGGGCCAGGGCTTCAAGGTTTAGGGGGGGGGATTCGGCTTTTGAGTTGGCCCTGTAACTAAACCGAAAAGGGAAGAGAAGCAACTGTGTTTTGTTACCGTTCTACCGGGGGAACCGAGGCTGTGTCCTTCGATCAGAGGATTGTCAAGGCCTTCATTGCGCGCCTGCCCGAGCCCTTTGTGCGAGGCAGGAACAAAGTGCCTTGCACCAACTGCGACTCGTCACTACGGGCAGCTGCGCCTAAAGCTGCATCTCAAAGCATCTTGGCTCTCTTTTCCTGGGCTCTTGGGGCCTTAACTTCTTGGGATTTCCATCATGTTGCTCATTGCTCATCATAATGGATGCTGGAAGGTTCCACTTACAATTTTAGGAGTGTCTAGAAGTCAGCCAAGGCATGATCATCAAGTACATCTGCCACAAAGAAGGCATCAGCCCGATCACGCTCACAGTCTATCTGGACGGGTACAAGCCGATCGATGTCGCATGGCAGAAGACACTAGGTTGTTCAGTGGTATACTGCGTTACTCTTTTGTTTGCTGCATTTCTGTACTACAACATGTTTATATATATATACATACATGCATACATACATGCATACATTTGTATACGAAGCTAACCCTAGCCCTACCTTTTTCCCATGGGGGCCTGCAGAAGCCCAGGAAGTGTCGGGAGCCCAAGAAGCCGCACGTCGGCAGGGCGCTGACTGCGCCTCAGGCCATGACCATGGCCTTCCTGGTCTCCGGCCTCCTCTGGAAAGCGTTTAGGGTTTAGGGTGTAGCGGTTTAGGGTTTAGCGGTTTAGGGGTTTAGGGGAGTTTAGGGGTTTAGGGATTAGGGGAGTAGAGATGGAATAGAAAAGACTAGGGCATAGTACTATGTATATAAACACACATATGTAATTGAACACGACACGATAGAGTAAGATACCGCAAGATTTGTAGTTTTTTTGCTTAACAAGTGTGGTCACGTTTTGGGTGGTTTGGTGGTAAGGAATCGGCAACATGATTTAGTGCCGGGTAGGTCTTAGAAGAAAAAGTTAGTATTCGCCTCCCCCCCCCCCCAATAACACAAGCAAGGTGTGTGGACTCATCGGCGTAGTTGTTTGCATGGTCTGCCTCTTCTGCAGCTCTGACTCGAAAGAGAAAGAGAAGCTGTTCTTGGGACGAGGACATGGGAGTTTCTGAGAGTAACGCACTCCAAAATAGACCTTGAGTAGTAGGCGCCTCAATATAGGTTCCTCCCGACCTCCCGAATCTTCTAGAGGCCCTTGCATGGCTTGGCATACTGAGCTTAGGAAATGCATACTAACTTTAGAGTGCTTGAGCACTGTAAGGGTTGGATTATTGGTACGATATTCTCCTAAATCCTACATTCTCCCAAATCCTCTTTTCTCCTAACTCCTACATTCTCCCAAATCCTCTTTTCTCCTAACTCCTATATTCTCCTAAATCCTATATTCTCCCTAAATCCTATCCCCTGGCAAGGGACGAACAAAGGAGGTCGGCAGATTGAGTTCGGTCGTCTCGGACCTGACTCGCAAAGAGTTGCTTCGTTCTCCAATGCTCAGCGTTTAGCGCTCTTGGCTTTACATCGTTTACTACTATAATGTAATACACAATATACACAAATATATATATATAGATATATACATTATAATAACTATTATTGTTAGTTTATTCGGAAAGTTTGGCCTGTTGATTTCCTTGGGGGCTGTCGGGGAACAAGGTTGGCTTCGGCTCGGACGATGAAGTGGTATTTCACTGACAGGCTGGTATGAGCAGATGCGTAGCCACCAAGAGCTCATCGCAGACAGCAGAGGAAAAAAAAAACAAAGCGCAGGGGTTTAGGGTTTAGGATTAAAACACTAAACCAGGGTCCTCTTGTGAGGTCCACGGAACTGATCTCGGGGCCCACACTGTAAAACCATCATGTTCCGTGCATGAGAACTTCCTAGAGACTATTTACAGCTTGACCCAGATGGAAAAGGGGGTTTGCTTTTTTGGTGGCCGAAGACGAAAAGCTCCCGAAGCTATGCCTGTCCAAAGCAAGCCGAAGACCCACCTACTTCGAAAACAGCAGAGATGAAAGACGCAGATCCTCACGTTTGAGGATCCGGAGTTGGCACGTGTCCCTTAAACCTCGATTCCAACGACCCAAGTTCCTCCTGACAACTGGCGGATTCGCTAGAGTCACTCACCTACGATGCCTGAATCACGGGCCTTGCCTACATGCTGAACTATACGCCATTATGAGGCCCGAAATGGGTTGAGATTTGTGGGAATGGGGTGGTCTCAGAAAGGAGGAGCCCCAATACAGGCCCCAAATTTTGTAGGATCCCTTTATTCAAGGCCTGATCCCTGAGTTTTGAGAAGTTGCCAAACTGCACCCTTCAGCCATGCCTAAACCCTAAAACCCCAAAACCTAAAACCCTAAACCCTAAAACCCTAAAACCCCAAACCCTAAAACCCTAAAACCCTAAACCCTTCAGCCATGGCTCTCAACTCTTCTTTGTGTCCCTTCACTCATGGGCGGACCAGGAGGTCTCGCCTGGGTCGTCCGGCTGTCAGTGCAGAGGTTAAGACCTCAAAAACCCCGAGAGCCCAATACCCCTTAATTAAGGAATGTACCTTAAATCATAAAATAAAGGCCCTTATCATTTATGGTATATTCCTTAATTCAGGGGTATTGGGCTCTTTGGGAACGGGCTTGAGAGCTTAAACCCTGAACCGCGCGAGCCACATGAGTCCCAGTCGCTGAATTGCCCTAAACCCTGAGCTACTCCAACACTGGAAACACACTAATTTAAACCATGTTGTAAGTCTTTTAGGCCCCATGGACCTTCAACGCGGCGGATCCTTCATGAGTCTTAAACCTAAACCCTACAAATCCCAACCGCTTGGGGTATGTTTCACTAAGATTGTGCAGAGACTGCAAGGGGCCACTCTTACGAAGTATTCAATCCTTTGTAGTACAGATAAAAGTTTACACTTTTACACCCCCCCCCCAAGCAAAAACCCTAAACCGTGCTGAAGCTCCCAAAAAAATCCACGTACACCCGCCACTCTTCAGGCGGAAAGTCTTCCGCGAGTCCTGGGCTCCGGACCTCGCCGACAGGATCTTAGCCTCTAGGGGTTTAGGGTTCAGGATGTACTATAGAGGCCTAAATAATTACCAGTACTATTCTTTTTTTTTGGGGGGGGGAGGGGGTCCTTATGTTTGTTCATTTAATTACCGTATAATATACCCCAAAACCTTCTTCTAATTTTTACGGCCCCTGCAAATTAGGTGGTGAAAAGGGTGGAGGTTTTGACACGCTCAGGCGTCTGATTTAGGTTTAGATTTGCAGTGGAATGCGTAGCATTTCTGGTTGAGGGTTCCCACACGGCTTCTAGAAGTCCTAGCTAGTATTAGGGAAACCCCTTAAAGGGGACCCTTCTGAACCTTACTTATGGCTTTCTGAAAAAAGGGAGCTTTTTGAGAGGGTCTATATCCCCAAGGGTCGCCCTAATCCTAACTCCTAAGAAGGGTTGTGCAGTGTACAGGGTTTCTCACGGGTACATGTTGCATGGGGTTCTCATGGGATTGTGGTATGGGTGTCATGAATTTTCTGTAAAGGTCTTTAGAGGTTTCAGGGTTGAGGATTAAAGGTTTGGGGCTTCAGGCCTTCGGATTTTGCTTTCGGAGGCTTCTTTAGCATAGTGTCACGCTATTCTACCGCAGAACCCTGCTCTTGTAGCCAACCCTTATATGCCTTCTTTGAGAGCCTTTAAAGGAACCTTGTCCCAATTGCTAAGGCCTTATAGGAACACTTCCATCCTGAGAAGTAGGTAACTAGTTGGACGGCAGGGGATCTGAGATGCAAGGCTGTGCAGGTCTGGCATACTGGGCACCGATTTGGGACAGCCGTTGCTTTCCTACTTTTTGATAAACGTCCTTCGCGGCTGGGATTTAGGCATTCTGACTGTTTAGGCCCCTGTATTAGACGATGAGTCCATCGGTTTCAGGAGTTGGTTTTAGACCTTCACTGGAAGGCGTGCCATGAGTGCGTGCAAGGCTCTATAGCAAATAGGTCTCAATTAGAATAGAGCTGTGGGGGTGTGTTCTGGTACAGTTATGCCAAGGAGCTAGAACCGGCACATACTACCATTGGGCCAGTCCTCTGGGCCGCACACTTCAGAATGAGGCCTTAGATGTTGCGGCGGAGCGAGGCGACGTTGCTGCGGCTGAGGCCGAGATGGGGTTTGGGGTCTGGGGATTGGCTGCAACAACGCGTTCATGGCTCTAGGGTTCCGGGTTTTCATGGTTCGTTGATAACCCTAAACCCCAGATCGCAGGGTTTCCAGGGTTTGCAACAGAGTTGTGGGGAGGGTTCAGAGTTATTTATAGACCGTTTATAGGATTCTCAGAGACATGAGGCCCGTGTACGTATTATAGAGGCATTGTGCCTTTAGGGGATTCGAGAGATATGACTGCATGGGTATGATCGGAGCCAGCAGATATTATACAGTTAGCAGTTATGCAGGCTTCATAACCAGGTCTGTGATTGGATGAGAAGTCCCCTTGTTCCTTTAAGGTTGATTGTGGTGGTTGGTGTTAGGATTAGGGGTGTCTTCGTCCTTCTATGGCCTTACACCACATACTTCGAGACACTCTTCTAACTTTTCAAGGCCCCTCGATTAGGTGATGAGTCCTGCAGCTTTCAGGAGTTGGGGATCAGAAGTTTGGGGCCGGGTGGGGCATCAGGATCTGAAACTTTGCTCGTGTCCCAGCGCTTGAGGGGTTTAGGGGTAGTGGTTAGGGTGTATGTGTTTGGCTCATTTTCAGTTTTTGCTCCGTGAAATGTTCACATGTCACCCTGAACCCTGAGCCCGTTTCAAACCAGATTTTTGATTTCTTTCTCAGCTTAACCTGAAACTCTGCCCGTGAACCTACAAAGGGCTAGGGTTCAAGTTTTAGGGTTTAGGGTTAATCATAGCGGCCTTCTGCGCTGTACATAGGACTTGAAACTGCCCTTACTCACATACAAGGAGCGCTGCTTTGTCCCGCTGAAATGATTTTGCAAGCATGCAAACTTATGTGGAGGCTTTGTATGACAAGCTCAAGACGGTCCAGGCTTGGGCGGGCACAGTGTGTGACATTGTAAGCAGAAGTACTGAGCAGTGTCAGTTGCTTCCCTGCACTTTTCTAACGGACTGGCAAAATCAATCCTCTGAATGTAAGCACTGTGACCGACTGTCCTAGCTGCATAGTGCATTCGAGTAGTACGACAACAGGGATTATCGGCATAGGTGTAGCAACGGGCGGGGTTTACGAGCTTGTAAGCTAGTGTATGTCGGTGTGTGTGTGTGTGGGCATGCATGTATGTATGTGTGTATGTATGTATACACATGTGGTTGTAGCAGCCTATGCGTTGACATGACGTCGTGTTGAAGCATTCTCCCGTAATAGCCGAATTGAGCAACCTTGGTTTATGGTGCTTCGATCGGAGCAAGCTTCCAACCTGGAGAACTGCCAGGTGAGACCACATGTTCGTCGCATGTTCGCAAGAGACTCAGCTGCTTCACCAGAAGAGGCTACCATGTTGGAACAACACTACTTTCTGGTGCACGGTAGCTTGGGGGACATGGGCCGAGGTCAAGAGATCTTCAGGTGGGGACAGCTTCGGCGTTTCAGGTTCATGGCGAGATCACGGCTCTGTTTGGTTAGTTGCTCGCGGCCCAGCCATACGCAACAGTTCAGCTTGGTACTTGGTAGGTGCACGCCGCAGTCTCCTGAAGCTTCATACTAACTTCGCGAATTCTACCGGCCAAGCCTGGCAGATCACTTCGGGCAGCCCCCAGCCTCAAACACTGCGCGCCTCGTCCGAAAGCCAATACTAATTACCAATCCTGTTTCGTAAGGCTCCTAATATGCAACCCAAAACCATTCCACGAAATGTTGCAATCTTTCGGTCAAAAGAACACGGTCGGAAACCTAAAACATTTTCAAAGTATGCAAACCTGCCCGCTTCGGGGGATAGTGCTCCCAAAAGCTCTTTCTCTTTCTCTCCATAGATACACTACATACATACGTACATACATGCATACATACATACATTTACATCTATCTACCTACATATATATATATATGTGTGTGTGTATGTATGTGTATATATATATGTATACATATATATATATACATATACATATACATATACATATACATATATATATATACATATATTTGTATGACTGTATGGATGAATGACTGAATGAATGAATGTATGTATGTATGTATGTATGTATGCCTGTATGCATGCATGCATGCATGCATGCATGCATGCATGCATGCATGCATGCGTGCAATTGTGTCTGCGGGCGCAATTTTGGGGGGGTTCCCAAAGAAGAAGCCTTGAAACCCTTAAACCGTTACCCCAAAGCCAAAACCCTTGCTTAAACCCTGACGCCCGAGGTCAACACCGTGATCAAGGCCTGTGCTAACTGTGGAGATCTTCAGTCAGCTGAGCTGTGGTTTGGGAGGCGCCTTGCTTGTAAGGGTTTCAGG